TCCAATAAGGTTCAAACCACTTTGGCTCAAAACACATGGTCAAAGATGCCATGTTGTTCAAGTCTCATGAATCAAGAGATAACCCCCTAAGCCGATTCAGGTTCAAGCCACTTTGGTTCAAGCCTGATGCCCTATGATGCCAAGTTGCTATGGATGCTCCGTTCAAGGGGGTACACCCCGAGGTACTTCGCCTCTCCGTGCTCACTTGGCGCAAAGAAAAAATCCGTGAAGCATGTAGCCGTATTTGGCCCATTAAGGCAATTGCCCCTTGTGGTTGACATGGTTTCGCTCCATGAGTTCTCCAAATAAACTCTCAATGATGCCATCTGGCACTCCAGTGCACGTGGGAAGGATTAGACCATGCACTTCTGATTTTTCATCCAGTTATCAGCTCATTTCCTGTCATATGCAATTGCAGCAGTCCACCCCTGACTTTTTGCCAATGAGAACCGACTTCATGAATCCCTTCCCCCTTACCTGCAACAGGTGCTAATCGGGAAGCGCCAACTGCTGCTAGGGCTAATGATGGAGGCGGCGAAGTGCCCTGACATTGGGCTAGTGCAAAACATCCGCCAAGGCTTTCGGCGACCCAAAGTCAAAAGACCTACCATGTCTATGAACACCTTGCTTGTCCTGTCTAATGGTCTTAACAAGAATGTTCTCGGTACTCGATAGGAGAGTGACCTGGAGTCTGCTGCCTGAGAGGAAACACAAAAGGAGCTGGCCGCCGGGTGGACGTGGCTGGCAAATGACCAGGACCAGGACACCAAAGGTCTGCTGATTGCATTGCGCTTTGCTCTGCGCCAAGGCCCTACCAAGGTTCGCTTGATAGATGATTGCGTGAACAACGGACTTAACAGCACTATGGGGCTTCGGGCACGCTTGGAGCTTCATACCATAGACAAACTAGCTGCCATGGCGCATCTGAGGAAGGCCTCACCGATTGGGTGGGACGTACCTTTGACCTTTGCAGTGCTTACAAGCAGTACGGGATACACCCTATGGACCGCCAGAGGCTACGCATCCAACGGGTGTGCCCGTCCAACTTTGCTAGGAGTGAACTCTTTTCCTTTCGGTGCCACAGGTTCTGTGAGCGCCTTCCTTCGGGTGTGTATGGCGGTTTGGAGGGTAGTATGGTTTTCTTTTTTCGACGATTTTCCAACATCACAAGGTCAGTTCTTGCCAACAACACTCGATGGGCCATTGAGACCCTTTTTGATCTGTTGGGGATCGACTTCGATCGTGATGGGAAGAAAGCACCGCCTGATGCTGCCGTCTTTCATATGTTGGGGTTGCAAGTTGATATGTCCCAGTCAGCCTGCCGAAAGATCATGATCGGTCACACACCTTCAAGGCGAGGAGCTGTTTTCTTTCCTACAGAACATTTTAGATGCGGGGAAGAATGAGCCACGCACTTTTGAGCGTCCTCGGGGTAGGATGGTTTTCTCTGACGGCTATTCCTTTGGCCGTGTTCCTTCGTGTGCTAACAGGGCGTTTGCTTCTGCTTGTAAGGCAGCTACGTCGCCAGTGAGTTTGGATGCTGAACTTAGGACTTAGGAGCGCTGTTTCCCTTCTCCTGCAGAGGGTCAGCCCGCAGATCATGAGCAGCCTTTTCAAACAGTCCAAAAACCCAATTTTTGAAGTGGAGTTAGCGCCCATCTTGATTTCACGTGATCACTGGCAAACTTTGCTACGTGGTGCTCAGCTAGTTTGCTGCTTAGACAACGACGGAGTTAGGCACACGTGCATAAGTACGCCCACCTTGATCCAGCAAATACCTGGATTGCAATGATAGTGGACAGGGAGGCAGCTTTGGGTCTGAAGTCTTGGTATGCCCGTGTTGGCACCTCATCCAATGTTGCAGATGTCCGCTAGCTGTTTGGACTTTTCCGCCGAGTGTCTCGTTGGGTGCACGCATTCGGAGCCAAGCATTGCCTCTCTCTTCAAGGGGTTGGGGTGATGGCAGGGATTCGACAAAACACGCCCCATCGAAAAAGAGAGACCTCTTTTGTGTGCTGATTTGATTTTTAAAATATGCATATTGGTATTATAGAATATTCTCAGATTATTATGCCGGAGAATATTATTTGTGAAATATTGCAATTGAATATGGGACTAAGTCTCATTCAACATTGCGTCAAGCACTAAAGGAATAAACGGTTCATAATGGATCAATCTATTCATTTGAAGTGTCAATGAAGGACATTTTGATTGCATGTATGTGCATGCAAAATGACATTGCTGTGAATAAGGGAGGCTCCACCTACGTTACCGGATATGGCCGGACATGGCCAAGCAGGTGCCGTACATGTTGGGCGATCTGGCTCATGTGGCCACGATTGCGCTTTCAGCTTGTCAGACCGGTGCAAGGACTCCTCACCCGGGACGAAGGGTCTAATTCAGGTCGTCCACTTGAATGGCCCGGGTTGTTTCGTATTCCATGGTGACAACGCCCCACCCATTCCCAATAAAATGGTTCACATGCACGTCCGTAGGCGCAATGCCTATGTATCGATCTAACACAGACTGGGGCAGGGCTGTGATGCCGGGCCTGGACGGTGTCAACTGGCATGCGCAATCAGGGACAACGACCAGCGAGCCAACGTACTTTATGTGTCCAACCAGTTCAAAAGTGCAGCGAATGATGTTGCTTGATTTGAATGTAGACTGTTTTCGCATGATTTGTAAATGCATTTTAGTTGACTGTTCCTTGCATTGTAGTTTAGCTAGTATACATGAGATTTCCAAGTTGTTTTTATGTTTTCGCTGCAAAGCTTGGGCTCCTTTCACCAACTATCTTCTCCACAAGCGCTGTCTTCCCGTCCAGACCTTTGTGTCCTGCTTCATCCAGCGGCTGCTTTGCCCCATGTTTTGTTCAGTTCGGTGCCTTGACTGTAGCAACCCCGGTAATGATTCCTGCAGAGCTGCCCCAAAAACTGTGGCCGGTTGCAGCTGTAAGCCCCCATCAGGCCCCAAATCCGCCGATGAACATTCGTCTCAACCTTGCATTGCCCAACATGCTGCTGCAGCCTTGTCCCATGGATCAGCTTTTGAACACTTCAAAGCCAGCGTTGGTAGAGCAACACAGCTCGCATTCCACGGGCGAAACATGCGAATGCTTAACCGATCAATATGGCTGCATGAATGCTTGTTTTTACGGTCCATAAGTCATGACTGCGCAAACCGACAATCTATTGTTGTTATTGGAGCTGCTGAGAGCATTCTTAGATCGGGCAAGCAAGGCCAAGCTGAAATCATTAATTTTGAAATCCAAAAAATCCATTAATTGCACATGCAACCACAGCGTTCCACCAGTAGAAGCACCATTGAGCAAATTGGCAACTGTAAAAGCACCTGTTTGTTGTGCTTTCAGTACATGCGTGTCTGCAACGCCATGCCATGAAGAGATGTGGGCCAATAGAGTTTCGTGTAGCCTGATGCCAGCCACGCACCCATTGTTTCCCAAGGTGCGAAGGGCTGATGCCGGCTGAGTGCTCCCAACCCGGTTCAGGAACCTGTTCGGAAACATGGCCAGAGCAAACTTGCGGAAACTTTTTTTCTTTTTGAAAAATGGATTGCGAAACAACATGCTGAATTCTATTGTATTTCGAGTTTTCACGCCTCGTGTTTGTTCATGCGACGTCAGCTTGTTTCACACGTTGTGAAACCAAGGTATGCTGACAATATATACTTTAGCATGGATAGTGCATGGAAACATAGATGATTATGACTCGCTGGTTGGATCAAGGGGATTCACTTTCAAAGACATCAAATTGACAACAATTTTTCAGGGGTGGTCTAAGTTGTGTTTTTTCCTGCATGCTTCTGCGTGAGCCATATTTTCAGTGAAACGACTTTCGAAAGCGTTTCAAGCGAAATTCAGACCTCCGATTTTGCAATAAAGCCCGCCGGATGTTTGGGCAGAAGAGTTGCATGGAATTGTGCAAGATATGTTGGGAAATGAATGCACAACTTGCGCTTCCATGTATGTCGCATGCGTTGAGTCAAAATGTATTTGCTCCTTCATGTGCAGCCGCCAGCACAGGCCTCTTGGTTCCAGCAACAGCCTACCACATGCTTTGTGACCTTCCTGGCAACTCGCAACAGCTGCTCGCAATTTGTTTGTTGTATGAACCATATGTCAAGCAGATTTCGGGCAGGTGTTCTTGAACTTAGTTGTTTTGTTTTAATTCATTTTTGGTTCATGACTGACTTTTGGAATGGTCTCTGGCTCTACACTTGCTCCAACCAGCGATGCAGGACATGTGCTTGTCAGTGCTCGCATGCAGTGCATCAACTCAGAAACGCGCTCGTGCCTCTGCAGTGATTTTCGGTAGCAAGCAGTTGCAATTGGTTTGAGGCAGGCAGCTGTCATGGTGGTCATGCTCAGAGGATGTGTAGTTATCATTTAAGCGCATCAAGGCGCAAAGGGAGGTGTGACTTTTCCAGCACGACATTCCAGCCATGAAAAGGGCGTTGCAGATTTGCATGGATGATTCACCTCCCACGAAGCGTCTTCGGGGTGGCTGCAGTGGTTGGTTGGAGGCATTTCTTTCAACACTGGTTCACGCAGTAGACTTGCAAAGAAGTGCAAGACGCGGTCTTGCGCACGTTTGGTTGCATTTCTTGTACCAGCCACTAGTTTACCGACGGCGAGTGCAGGCTGCTCACGAGTTTCTTGCCAGGCGGAGTCGCAGCCGGTCGATGAGCGATGTGGAGGATGCGATTCAGAAGGCTGAAGCAAAGCCTTTCCGTGCAGTTCTTCGCGCAGATTTCTGGCAGCATCAAGACCCACCGACCGAAGCACGCGACACCCTTTTGCAGAAACGTCTGGCGTTGAGAACTGAACTGGAATTGCAATTGCAGAGGCAACTTATCAAGGAGAACGAAGGTGGCATGGGCTTAGCCCTTGTTTCGCTCGGCTTGTGCGGCTCGCGCCTTCGAACGGATGCCATGCAGCGGCACTACTTCGGAAAAGTTCCTTTAGAAGTAGAACGTGGTACAGCGTTCGATTCTGCTGTTGAGTCAATTTTGGCTGCAAGGCCATCGCACCTGCTTTCAGGAGTTCATGTAAGATTCCACGAAAGCAGTGGTCTAGCGGAAGCCGGAGTTGACAGCGGCGGATTGACGCGAGAGTTCTTTGATTTGGTTATCAAGGATCTCTCAGAGCCGTTCCAGCCAGCAAGTGTGATGAAACAGGAGCCCAAATTTCGAAGAAGCGTGTCTGTGGAAGGCATTGGCGAGCCCATGTTCTGTCAGCAGGCAGATGGCTCCTTGATGTTGGCATCCTCTTCGCGCCCTCATGCAGTGTACTTCGGATTGGGCCGCCTCATTGGAGTAGCACTTGTCCACGCAAGCTATGGAGATGCTGCACTTCCGTTGCCTTTATCTGATTGCCTACTCAAGTGCATGGTGGGGGCTCCCATAACTGCTGCTGACGTTCGAAAACGTGATCCCATCTATTACAAGAACCGCATTGAAGCGGTGCTTTCCAGCCAGGGACGTCTCATGGTCACCGCAGCACTGATGGAGGACAAGCTGGTGTTTGCAGAGGGCGAAAGGGAGTTGAAACCTGGAGGTGCCACAGAGGAGGTAACTGACGAAAACGTGATGGAGTACGTGGCGCTGCTCAGTGAGGACTATATATGTGGCGGCGTGCGGACAGAAATCTCGGAGTTCCTTGCAGGATTCCACGACATTGTGCCGCGGAAGCTGCTTCAACAGGCGGGCTTGGGATTCGTTTTTAATCTACAACTGAAGAAGCCTAACGCTTCAAATGGATTGCAATGACTTTGACACATGGTTCCTAAGACAGCCTACCCCTGAAATCTGAACTTCCGAGCACAACATCATGAGGCGGGCTTGTCCTGGGTTCACTTGGGCAACTTGCTTTCTGGGGTGGATTACATTGATGTTGAAGCGTGGAGACGCTATGCTCGAGTGCGGGCTGCTGGTGTTGCTGAAGACGAAGCGCTCAGAGTTGCGAACGTTTTTTGGGACACCTTGGAACACTGGCCAGCTGTGGAACGGAGTGCTGTGCTGGCCTTTGCGAGTGGTTGCTCACGCATTCCAGCTTGCGGCTTTGCATTCTTAGACCCGCCCTTCACTGTGGAGGTGATCCCCTTCTCGAGCAAGCTGCCAACTTCGCACACCTGCTTCAACACCATAACTCTCCCCGCCTACTCTCCCGAAGTGCTTGAAAAGAAGTTAGCCTTTGCAGTGCAGGAATGCTCAACAGGATTTTCTTTGATTTAGCTGTTCCTGAGGCCCGGTGGGTAGCATCTCTTGAGTGCTTTCGAAAATGGTTAGATCAAGAACTAGACAAATGGTAAACGATTGTGTTATGCTCCTTGACGCCTGGCACAGATGAGAGACTACTGTGATGGCATCAGTCCTGAATTCAGCTTTGCTGTGCTCGGCAGCGGATGATTTTCAAGAATCTTGCGCATTTTTGAGTCGCCTCTCATGGAACATGAAGGCTTCGCATGCGCCCGCATTTCATCGGGAACGGTTCTGCAAGAGGGACCTTAGAGAACCCTGTCCAGCGTCGACAGGGAGCCCCCTGAAAGGGTGCCTCCCTGACATGATGGAGCTCACAGAGACCCGCGGAGCACCTGCCAAGCCCTGGGCCAGGTTTTGCGGGTTTTTGTCGAAAAGGCTTCGTGTCGCGCAGGTGCAGTGTTCAGGTCCCTGGGCGGGATGTACTTGGCTCTCGCCTAACTCCGAGACGCGGCTCCTTCACAGAGCCGTGCAATGGCGTTTCGGAGAATCATTTCGGTAGAGTCGGATGGCTACAGAGAGAATCTCTGCAAAGAGCCTCATGACTAGGAGGATGCGAGGCTCATCTCTCTGATGTGATGGGCCTGCGGGTCAAAGAAGACAGTGCCAAGTGCGTTCAGACTTTCGCTGCTAGTTGACGACGGCTTTACGTTCTGAGCATTATCGTAAGCAGGAGCACGGGAGTTCTGCAAAGGAGCTCCGCTCGCCAGACTCCGTGGAGAAGCTCCAGGCAACAAGCTCGAGCTGCTTTGAATTTCAAGCTGAAGAGACGTAGTAGGCCTTCAGAAGATGGACGTGCTGCTTCTGCGTCTGTATCTTTGACCTGGAGCAAGGACAGTCAAAACTGCTGTTCAAGTTTAGGCGAGCGATTTTGTAATCTAGCATGTTTTTTCTGCAGAAGGACAGCGGTTGGAGCTCGTGCTCCTCTCAGTGCCGTAGCGGTACGTCCTTTAAGTCAGCGAGATGAAGCGGAGTTGAGAGATTGTGCTTGGATTTGACAGGAAATACCCAGCAACAGCCCTCTCTCTGACGAAGACCGCCAGCTTTTGCGGCGGGGCGTCCCAAGAGTTTGAACACCTTTTACCAAAGCTGTTTGCAACCTGGTTTGCTGGTTTGTTTGTAGTCTGATCGTCTTGTGCCAGATCCAGATCTCAGCGCTCAGGTACCTTGCGTTTCCGGATTCGGGCCCCAGCCGCCTGACGTCTGTGCGGGCCACAGCAGGGTAAGTTCAGAGCGTTGAGCTGTTTCAACTGCAGATTCTTTCTTGATTATAGAGTCTTTGATGATTTCTCGGGGTGAACGTCCAGCAGCTTTGTCCCCATGAGGTGGAAACTGCAGTGTTTCCGTTTCGCTTCCGCAGAGGGAGTGGAGTTCCTCTCTTACCAGCATCGGGATGCGGAGCATGCGGAATGCACGGCATTGAGCCATCACAATCAGGTTTCAATGCATGTCAGAAAAAGGGTGTCACAATAAACCTTAACAGGGTCAAGCAAGTTCGGCCCTAGCGCGAATTCCAGAGAGTGGACAGTCTTGCTTGAGGCATCTAGAGGTCGCAGCACCGGCCAGGCAAGAAGGCAGGGTTAGTGCAACAGCTATGATTTTGGCAACCAATTTATATCGCATGTCGAGAACCAATCAAGTTTCAGAGGCATGGTCGCTGGCTGCATGAAATGACGTTCCACACGCAGGGACTTGCCACTGGAGCAGGATGACTTTTGGTATGCAGCAGGGGGCTCAGCTGAAAAGCTTTGGGTGAAGGTTTCGCACTTTGTGTGTTTGTGAGCCACTCTGCAATCACCTGACAGAGGTCACACAGATTCGAACGGCACTGTTATAAGTTCACGGGACTGCCAGTGGCCTGAGGCAGCGTACTTTCAGCAGCAGCCAGATGAGGACCGGACACAGCGAGGAAGATCTCGTGAAGTTGACAGTTGCAGAAAGGAATTGCAACTTGCATATCAGCGTATTGCTACCACAGACTGCTAGCTGGTTGGACACATTTAAACAAAGGTGTGGCCCAGGACACTGGAAAGAAGCACTGAGGATCTGATGTCTTTACCACGGAGCACGAGAGTAGGCAAAAGCAGAGGTGAAAGACCACAAGTGGGAGGCGAGCAAGCGACACTGTGTACAGCGCAGCCTGGTTGTCCGAGCCCCACACAAACCACCTGACCGAGCATGTATCATGTGCGAGTTGGTCATCCTTAGCGTTGTCGAAGGTTGTCTCGCAACATGGCTTCCTGGCATTTTGGGTTAGCAGCTAAGCCTCCTGCTTCAATGCATGAGTGACAGCACATGTTGCGTTAGAATGGTAAAGCTGCGCTACATGCTAGGCCGCGCTCATGACAGAGGTGGGCAAGCACTTCCAGGAGTGATGGGCTCAGCGTGAGGCGCATCAGCACAGCAGAGATTTCAGGAGACCAGCCCCACGCACAGGCACGGACCCGATGTTCTCGAGGAAGTCTTGGCCACAGCTAAGAGTCGGAAGGTGCGGCATGTGCAGCATTTGCGGCATCTTTGCTTACAAAACGGCGACTGAAACTGCAGTGGTGAGGCTCAAGCAGAGCATGGGCCAATGTTATGACATGTTATGACTGGAGGTTTTCGAACATTTAATGTTGCTATGACCTCAAGCTGCACAGCTCCAGACATGTGACTCCACGCGGTCCTCGTGGGGAGGTGCGCGACATGTCCGCAGCGGATTCGTAAGCAATCTATCATATTCCGAACCCAGATGACTGCTTGTCTGTGGTGGGGGTCTCTTGCTGTTTTGGCTCGAGTTATCTGAACAGCAGTGCGTCCGTGTGTCTTTGTGGTGGAGGTTGCCTCCATCCGCCAGTAGGCTGGTGGAATTTTTTGCCGATGCATGACGGTTAGCTGGATTCCTGGATACTGCATAGCTGAGTTTGCCAGGTAGGCCCGGCCATGGCTAAGAATGCCATGACGCCGGAGGAGCAGCTGGAGGACCTGCAAAGGCGCTTCCAGCTGCTCGAAGGTGAGCCTTGAACTTCTTAGACGCTCCGGGTTTGTAGGGAGTACCCCAAGCACAGGGTGCCTCACATGAGCTGAGGAACGCAAAGCAACATACGAGACGGCAAAGCTGAACATCCAGCAGAACAAGGACGGCTAGTTGGTAATAATGGGAACAGGGCATCATTCCGCGCGCCTCCTGCAGTCTTTTTGCTGTCACTTGAGCCGATGCCGACAGGAGATTATCGGCCAGATGAAAGACGAGAATAAAACGCACCCCAGCCTCAACATCAAGCTTGGATAGATACACCATGATACACCAAGACAGGTTTTTGTGATGCAAGGCTTAGAAATCAGATTGCGACACTCCGCGACGAGAAGCCGCAGTCATTGGAAAAGATTCTGGAGCAGACAATGCATGAAGTGCAGCAGATGCAGAGGACGACGGCTGTGCCTATGCTCGGGAGCTTCATTTTGGATCATGACACAATCCAGTAGTTGGCAAGCAGCTGGTCCTAAAGGCAGACGTTTGCAGACGCATCTCAGATCTTGTGTGGCAAGGAGATTTGATCTCCTCAGGAACGAAAACAACAAGAGGTCGGGGCTTTCAAACATTTGAAGCATCAGCATGAGTGTATGCATCAATGGGTTTCTTGGGTTCTCGTGGTGGCCAGTACATGCGCTGCCATGCGTGCTACGTGTCAGATATCAAACCCATAAGGCGGGGCCACATAGAGCAGCTCAGCATCAAGCAGGGTGAGCTTTCCATGGGCTCCAAGATGCATTCTAGCGAAGCCTCGCCAGAGATGAGACATATCCGGGTCTTGGAGAATCGGCTTGACAAAGTGATGATCAAGTACAACGAGGCTCAGAGTATCCGGAAGACATACGAGGCCATCGTCAAGCGCCTCAAGGATGAGCGTATAGGCTTCGACAACCAACTCGCGGCCATCGAGCGCACCTTGAAGGCCAAGGAGCGAGATTACGAGGAACTGCTCCTGCTGTCGCACGACGCCTACCACGCCAAGGTAGCAAATTGCAAATCGTGCATCTGTGAAATGTTTCGTCGTGTTTGAGCTTGGCGTAGTGACATAGCCAGGAGATGGCGCAGGCGGAGTTGCATCGCTTCGAGCAGGGGGTGATGGAAGAGAGAAATCAGCGAGACAAGGAGGTTCAAGAAAAGAAAATCTTGGTTGAGCAGCGTGTCGAGCTCCTTGCCTTCAAGTTGACTTGAGGACACAAGTTGAATCAGTGCAACTATCGTGGATTGACTGCCTTGCATATGGCCCAGGATGAACAAGAGATTGGAGCTTCGGGAAAAAAGCTTGAAACAGCAGCCCGAGACAGAAAAAGGTCATGACCGATCCTTAAAGGAGGCATCGGTTGCATCCGAGTTCACAGCAGGCGCAGAGCTTGCAATGTTGAGGGATTGGTTTGCAGGCGCAAACTATGAAGACTCTGGCTCTCCCTGCAATACGTAGGCTATTCTGGTGACGCAGCACAAGAGGAACTGCAGAAGATTATGGACTACAAGGTTCGGCGTAGCATCGTGTTTCAGCCGCCATGGGTCGAGTCAGAGAAGATTGTGCATTGCCTGTGCAGGAAGCCGTGCAGGCAATCAAGGATGCTACAGGCCACGGGGCAGACTTTTGATTATCAAGCACAGTTTCCTGCGGAAGAGGCATGATAGACAAGTTCCTTGTTTCTTGACAAGCTGCGCCTGCAGATAGATCTGTGGAAAGCCTGAGCAGGCGTGAGCGATGCCAATGAGATCATCCAGAAGTTTCTGACGCAGGAAGACACCCAGAAGAACCTGCAGCAGCTTACCAAGGAGAACCAGGAAACCATCGACAGGTTCATGGATCTCATTGATACATGCACAACCGCTCGATTTAAGTATTCGCTGGTAGGGGAAAGTTGCAGCATTTGAGCCTGCACTAGCCGCTCCTAGCATGCTTTAGGAATCAGATTTCTGCAGCCTTTCTAGCACTGTGTGCATGGCAGCTACAGTGAACACGCCGACGAGGGGTAACAATCTGGATATCCCCTATGTCTATGATTGAGAAACACCAGGACTGTTTTTTGCTAGGTGTTGTGACTCTCGGCGCAGAGACATGGGCTTTTGTTGATATCTACATGCAGCTGACTTCCGATGCATGCACACACCCTCATGATCCTTCAAATAATATTCCATGTTTGGCATGGAACGACTCTGGTCAGGTTGACCGAAGACCGGCGAAAGCTGCGTCTTCAGGCTCTGCACTGCTTGTTTCTTTCTGGGCAAGTGGTTTTGGTTCAGAATCGCCTGAGGTGGAGGACTTGAAATTCTCTAGCGGAGGGCCGGCTGGACGTCGGCAGGTCAGATGTGCCAGCACCAAAACATTTGCCTTGCCTTGCATGTGCCTTGTATAGGCCATTGATGACTTCGAGTCCCACTTGGGAGAAGCCACGGAGAAGTTCGAGCGGAACCGCGGCAAATATGAGCGCGTGGCAAGGAGCGAATTCGCAATCAAGCACTTAGTGAGTTGTGCTTTTTTATTGTCCGAACTGCTGCGTACTCCGCCGGTGCAGTTGGTTGAGGGCCATGTGTTGGTATGGCACATAGAGCGTGAAGATCCCGAAGCATGTTTGGTGCTGGCCAACAAAACGGACATGGGAAGAAGGATCGAGGATCTCGAGCTTGAATCTCTTTCCTCATTGCTAGCTTTAGATTTGCAAGGTGAGAATGACAACCTGAACATTCAAGTATTCCTTGGTATGACCTTTTTGGGGTGCAGCTTGCTTTGGCTGCATGGTATGGACAAGTATGACGGTTTAAATCCAGGCAGCATCCCAGGGATCTTCAAGGTTCTGGGAATGGCTGTTGGAAAGCAATGCAGTTTGATCAAATTGCCGAGCGTCTCGAACTGCTAGAAAGAGAAATCCTGTTGAACTGTGCTACCCTCTTAGGTGCACAACAACAGGAGTTATTGTTAGCTCGGTCCCCATCTCCAAACGGGGAAGGTCTGATAAAGGTTTTCGTTTGGCTGGAGAAGCCACACAGTGGAGCACGTGTGACGAAAGCCCAGAGCATGTTCTTCTGTGAGATGCGTGATGGCAAGATAGCCTTTCATGAAACATTTGGTCTGGCAGGCTGCTGATTGACATGAAAGCTGGTATCGGACACCTGTCCGAAAAGTTGCAGATTGTGAAGCTGGAGGGTGAAACAACCATTGACCCCAACGAATCTTGGCTTGACTTGAAGTCTTGATTTCGATCAGAGCATTTACTTGCACTTGAGGACGACAAGATCGAGGTTGAGCACATGCTAGAGCAGTGTGAGCTGAAGATCTCAAAGCTTTTAAGCCTGACGGCCCCATTGGAAGACGTCAGCGACCGTCAGCGTCGAATGGACGACGCGCACTCAGTCCCTGTGCAATGTGATTCTGAAGATACTTCTGATTGGTCTTTGCTTCATGTGTCTCGAAGGATGAAAAGTACGAGGAGAAGCTGATGCTGCGTAGCCAGTCTGAAGCACGCATCAAGCTCAACGTGCAGGAGCCAAGCAATTTATCGTCTAGGGTGCTACTGTTGTTAGCTTGGGGTGGGATGACAAAGTTCAAAGAGAAACGGTCACCTCCGCAAGTCACTTTTGCAGGCCAATCTCTTAAAACAGGTGTCCAAGTCAAATAGGTTGTGGGGGGCTGTTTAGCCTTCTTCCCATGCGTGTAGTTGTCAGGAGGAGGAGCATGATGACGATGATGATGACTTGGACGAAGAGCTGGACGATGAAGTTTCACACCGCAAGCAGATCAAGTACAACAGTGAGCGCGTCGAGCAACAGCAGCAAATCAGGAATAAGCGCAAGGCCAAGGGCAAGAAGAAGGACACATGAGCTGTTCTTTGCATGTGGGCGACGCATCCGCCCAGGATCAAGTGATCCATGCATGTTGTGCTTTGGTCTGTCGTTTTTCAGATGTTTTCAAGCAGTAAGAACAGAGCAGTTGGTGCAATCTGCACATGACAGACACAAGCATTCGTGGAAACATCGAGGTTTAGACCTGGGTCATTCTGCTCGAGCGTATGTCTTGTCCAAATCTGACAGGTGGCGCTTCGGCTAGACAGCCCAAAGTGGGTCTCCGCACGCTCGGTCTTGGTGTGGCAGCCGCCGAAATTTGTACATTATTCTGACGGCAAGAGATGGGACCGAGGTTGCGAAAGCTCGTACTGGTTAGAAGCTGTAGACATTGACAATACCACGGTCCTGTCCAAACTCTTACTTAATCTCAGGCTTCCGTGAACATGTGGGAGACCTGTTGCTGTCTCACCGTGCTTCGTCTCACCGCAAGAAGTGGTTGCGAAAAAATAAAGCCCACGATTTGCTTTGGCCAATCCTTGGCCGTGCATCTATCATTTGGCACATTCTCGACCGGATGACGTTGCAGGTGCCCGACGCCAGATAGCAGATGAAGCAAGCCAACCAGGCCAATCAGGCTCTGACATTGCGTCCCGTTTGGAGTCTTGCGGTTGTCTTGTTGATGCCCTCACGGCCCACCTGACCAGTCGCAAGATTTATGTGCCTGCAATACGGATGGGCCACGCCAAAGTCCGTGCATAGAGCATGCCATCGAGTGTGTGCCATCATGCTGCGTGTAGGAGAAGGGCTAATTGCAGAAGCCCCTGCAGCCTGCTGCAGGCTTTGTCGCTGACAGCTTTTCTGTCATTTCACCTTGGCCGCATCATCCAACGAATCTTCTTCCAGTCAGTGACAAAAGGATGAAGCTTTGTGTGCTAATGAGTCTTCAGGCCTGCCCCAAAAGCAGCGCAGTTTTGCGCCGTGCCGCTGTTCCTGCCAGAGCTTGTCATGTGGTGACATCTGATTTGTCATTGTGGCTCAGAGCGCAGATAGTCGTTGTTGGCTAGTTGCAGGCACCTCCATGGAATGGGTTGCTACTGCTGTACGCAGTCGCGCAAGCAAGATGCTGTGGGTGATGTGGCCTCCACTGCTGCAGGCGCCACGGGTGCATCGAAGATGAAAATCCACGTGGGACCTCTCGAAATGGATTCTTCTGGAGTGGTGGTGAAGCCGAAGTTCAACCTGGGCATTTCCGGCGGCTCTCTCTATGCACTCGCAGGTGTTCGCGATGTTAGGGACGGCTTGGCAGTGGAGGGCCTGGCTATGTACATGAAGTCGTACTCCTCCTCTGGTACTTCCTTGATAGAAGTCCTTCGCGAGATCAAGGCTCAGGAGCCAATCCCAGTTCTTGATGACATCATCGCTGCTGTTCCGAAAGTCGTGTCTTGCGTCTTGGAGACAGTCGGTGCCGACATTGATGGTGACAATGTGGCTGGAGTTGAGGGTGTGGTCTATGTGTATGTCGGTGCAGGTGTCACAGCTGGAATTTACTTGGGCTGGGTAGACACGCAAGGCTATGCCATGATGGGCTTGGAAGGGAGGGTTGCCACAGCTGCTGGAGCGGCACTTGCTCTGCGTGCAGGGCTGAACGAGGAAAAACTTGCAGCAAGAGTTGTGTCATATCTGACAAATGTTGGATTTGATATGATTGTCAAGTTTCACAAGCCGTGCCAAGACTCCAAATAGCTGGACGGCTGTTGCCGTCGCCGTGTCTTTCACGATGACAAACATACCAGACGTAAACTGGCGCATGGTGGCAAAAAGCGTGCTGCATTGATAGCATGGCCACGTAGTGTTGGCGTGCAGGGTTGGCATTTCGCATCGTGTGACTCTTTGAACCCAGGTAGTCTCCACCATTGCCACGTGGCCTGCTCCTCCTTCTGCAGGTCTATCTCTGAGAAAGATTTGTATGTTGCTTTGACTTCTGGCAGTCAGCAATTGAACGATCAGGTCTTGACAGGGCAGTTCCCCTGCAGTTGCCATTACTTGGCGGCGTGCCCCATCGTTTGTGACGCTTGTGAGCGTTGTGAGTTACCTTTGGGTTGCTTTCTTGGAAGGTACTGGAGTTCTTGCCCATGGCGCCGGTCCACCTGGCCACGGCAGATGGCAGCCACGGCCTTGCCGTCAGGGATGATCGCACTACTTTGTTCGGAAGCGCTGATACATGCCACCTGACTAGACTCAACAGCCAACGTCAATTCACACTCCCAAGGATAAGTACCGTCCCTGCCTTGTGTCGTGGCTTGCATGTCACGGAAAACCAATGAAAGACTCCAGTTGCAATCGATTCGAACATGCTCGTCAGGCAGAAGTCCTTTACTTTAGCGCCAGCAGCATCAGTCGCGAGCTGTTTGTGCAGCAGCAATGACTTTCACAACGTGTGAAAGCAAAGTCTCGTGGAGTCTTGCACCGCAAGCTCACCAAAGACAGTTCATGCTTTTTTTTTTTCAGATCATGATGGGCTGGATGTTGATGGGCTTGGCACCCACTTTTGTCATTTGGTGGGATGCTTGAAGTCAATGGTCGCATGCGATAATTGAAGATTTTCCTTAACCAGTTGAAAGATGACCACGATTCTTACCGCCGTTCTCTGAAGTCTCGCTTCTGGTAGAATTGTTTGGCGGAAGTCTCGCCGTTGTTGAGAATTTTGATTTGTGAATCGTCTACTTCGTCCCACATACTAGTCAACACAAAGTGGCAACATGCAAACAAAGCCTCTTGTTGTGGGATCCTGCATCTCTCTGTCCCCTCTCCCTGTCCCCATTTCCCGACTTTACTGGGTTTTCCATGAAGGCAACAGCGCTTAGCTATTTGAGGAAATGGAAGTATGTGTTCTCAGGCAACCTGGCGAGAAGCTTCTAGCCATGCCTGTAATTCTGCGCTCCAGGGCATGCATGCGGGGGCCATTGTGCAGCGAAGCAGGCCTAGAAGCGGGCATGTGCGGTGCTTGCATGGCTTTTTTACTTGCGCATCCCCACAAACATAGCCGCTGCCAAACCGAAGGCGCCTGCAAGGTTTTTGCTGGACTGGCTCCTGCCAAAGCATTTGTGGAATTCCACACAAACGCATCGCCGATGCTAGCTGGGTCAGGTCGGAGAGGCGGGTTGAAACCAACTGCGGCTACGGCTGGCAGCCTGCCACGGCAAGTCAGGGTTGGGTCAGCAGGCACTGACTTCTTTTTGGTTTCCAGACGCCGAGCAGCTAGACTTCCGCTTTACATTGGGGCGGCCACATTGAAAACCTGCAGCAGGAAATTGGATGCCAACCACAAGGCGAAGGCATGCGTGTCGCGCAATTGGGCGCCATTCTAACAGCCGTCGGTTTCTCGCGCTGATTCGAACCGCGCTTTCCCGAAAGGAGCAACAGCATTCCTGGAATGCTGGAGCCGAAATGATGGTGGTGGATGTTGTGGTGCTCGTGCTGCTGCTGCTGCTGCTGCTGCTGCTGCTGCTATTACAGCGCCCCACGTGCTTTCTTCGCGGCAGCGTGCCTCCCCCTCAGCTGTTTTCACCGAAGCCAGTTCTTCCAGTTCAACGTCTTCCAACGCTTGACCAGCCCTATGTCACCTGTGGCAGCGTACAGGGTGGTACCATCGCCTTGGCTAAAGATGTGTGAACCGATCAGTTCACGAGGTGGCCTTCAGCAGGTGGCGAGCCAGTTGTGTGTGCTAGCCCACAGTGGCAGCAAGGCTGTGCAGAGGCGGCCACATGCAGCAGGGTCCACCACCTTTGGGCCAACATGACCTGGGCGGTGTGGGAAAACAGCTGTCCAGCATGTGGCACGGGTCCCCCGCGAAGGCAAAAACCGAACTCAGGGATTGTGCGAGAGCTTCATTCTAATTTGATGCTTGTGTCGTCGGGCTTGCTTCTGTCCTCATGCTTGCATCTTCCAGCCAGCAGACGGAGTCTGAGGATGGAAATGGCATGAAATGGTAACATGCCCGGTGCCACCAAAAGGGTTTGTCACTTGAATACACCACAACTTGGGATACTTCTGTCAGAACGCCGCATGTGCACTCCCTCTTGGTGCACCAGCAGCGACGGGATATCCCCCAATGATTGAAACAGTTTTTCTTTTTGTGACAACGACTTACACTGGTATGTGCCGCGGATGAGCCCCGGAGCACCGTGAATCCTTTGGAGCAGCGTTGCTCGGTGCCATGGACGGAGCCATGCAGGCTGACATGGGGCAAGGCACCTGACCGAGATAAGGGGTTTTGGGTGAGAGAGGCAAGGGGCGGGGAAAGGATGGCAGAAGACGGGGGGTGTTGCATTAACTTTCTGTCGTTGCTTCGTTGTCTGTGAAGGATCCGGGTCTTGGGCGTCTTCCCAAATTTCTTCTCGCACTGAGATGGGGTTCGAGACATGCTTGCCAGGCGGTCGTCCAGAGAGGGTTGGAAATGCTTGCAAGGGGTTAACCGCGGATATAATGTTCAGCTGTTGGAATTTGGACGGTGGAGGCCTCGAGGTGAAAGGCGTCACAGTGCTTTATGCGCGCCCACATGTAGTGGCATAAGGCAAAATGGACGCACACATCGTCCATGTGAATATCATGTAGGATAGGCACAAGGCAACCATGGAAGGAACGCATACGCCAATGGTGTGTATTTCACCATGCTGGCAGCTGGCAAGTGATTCCATCTACGTCGAAAGCATGGTGACAAACGAAAGGCGTGTCCTCAGCAAAACAAACAGGGGTGCGGTGTAAGATGCTACTTGTACCCATACAGCGGTTTCCAAGAAGGAGGTGCATGTGCATGTCAGCCGGCAGCCTGGTGTTTCGTCGTCACCAGACGACAAAATCGACCTTCCAGCCGGGCCCATTCAGAGAAACAACTTAGATACACGAAGCCCGCAGATCCCTCCGCTAGATAGGCAGCATCTGGATGGGTGCAAATGTTGTGGCAAGGACCTCATAGCTCAATCGTCCACGCTCAGTCGAGCAAAAATACAACGAGTGCTGGAATAAGCGTGGGGTGT